CGCGGAGGAGCTAATTTGTGTGCATCTGTGTGAAACACGCATAGGAAAAAAAGAACGACAGAAAGAACGGCTCCCCTCCAGCCGCGACTCGGCTCCCATCGTTCATGTTTATGAGCCGTTCAAAAGAATCGGTTCGTTCGCGAACGTCACAACTCTAGTTAGCACACACATACCGAGTTGGCTGAACATGGCATATGCTGCAACTGAAGGCACTTCGCAAGCTGCTTTAGTTTAAAAAAAAAAACGCAAAAGTGCCGTTTGGAAGTATTTTGCAGACGAGCATGGAAAGGCTAAGGATGTCGATAAGCCTCTATGCAAATAGTGATACAAAGTTGTGGCGACGAAGTCAAGTAGCACGTCAAACCTGGCGAACCATCTTAAAGACCGACATCCCGGTCTTAAAGTTTATGAGAAATTTCACTAAACTTTTAAACACTTCATCTCACCTATTAAACATCAAAAATGTTAAATTAGCCGGCGCACACCTTAACATTAGCCATTTATTTTATTTTATTTATCATTTATTTTACCAGGAAGGTTCCATTGAGATACAATACAGTATCTCTTCTTCCAGGACGAAGATGGCAACAAATAAGAAAAATAAGGGAAAAGTTTCATATACATACACAATGAGATGATATAATATAAGCACAAACTAAAACATATACAAATACTCAAACTCTCTAAAAATATCTAAAATAAAATTAATTTATATGAAACAATGACACTGTTCTTTAAGCTCAGAATTTAAGCGAGCACTTTTAAAGCACTCAGAGAAGGCAAGTCTTTGTAATATATTCCACTCGTGGTGCATAAGAACAAAAGGCGTATTTCCTCAGTTCTGTGTGTGTGGTGGGAGGCTGAAGGAGAAGTGTAACTGATGAACGGGTACTGTATGTATTAGTGTGGAATGTCAGCAAACTACATATTTACAGAGGTAATTTGCCCATTAAAGCAATGTAGGCCATGCATTTTCCTTCTAAGAAAATGAAATCTATAAGCAGTTAGCCAACAAACACGTTAGCTGTCTGTAATCATTAAGGGCGCTTTTCCACTGCACCAGGTACCGTACTTTCGGTACTTCCATAAAGTACCGAAAGTATGGTACTTCTTTTGTGTCGGTTTTCCACTGGCGTAAAAACTGGTACCAATGCCAATGACATCATCAGGGACCGCCCCTGACTTACATCATCACAAAGCGCGGCGCGGTATTTCTTTCGCTGAATTCAAACATGTTATTATGATCCTTCACTTTCTTGTAGTGGCCCTGTGGTGGACTGGCGACCTGCCCGGGTGTAGGCCTACCCCGCCTCTCGCCTGAAGATGCTGGGATTGGCTCCAGCTTCCCCGTGACCCAGATGCGGTATAGATAATGGATGGATGGACTTTCCTATAGTCCTGCTTAAGTTTTTTGATTTTCAAGCGGCATTGTTTCAAGTCTGTGTTTCCTCGTTTGTCCATCCTTCCATTTTACTTTTTAAATATTTTTGTTTCTACTGCTTTTTATTTTGTTTCTCGCTGTTCGCTGTGTGTTTCAAAAGATGGCGGTTGTATTTTGTGTTTCAGCAGCAGGCTATTTGCATAACCAATCGACAGCAAATACGCTTGCAAGTCCCAACCCAAAGTACCGAAGTACCAAAGAAGTACCCCAGCTGGTTTGGCACTTTCGGAACTGAAACTTTATGTAGGGTACTCGACCGGAAGTCAATGGAAAAGCGAAAGTACCGAAAGTACCATACCGAAAGTACCATACTTTGTGCAGTGGAAAAGCGCCCTAAGGTATCAGATAGGTGCAATGGCTAATAATAAAATAATATAGTTAATGTGGGAACAATACAAAAACATAAAACAAAATTGTGTCCTGTAAAATCCTATAAAATGTGGTAAACGCCCAGTAATACCTAAAAAAAAATACCATTGTATACCGTGAAACCGATATAGCTTAAATATATTACATATACATTATATATAAAAAATACCGTGATTTTTGGTCATACCTCCCAGCTCTAGCTCAGGGGGATAAATGGAGCAATGGCCTAATCCCCTCAGGCCTAATTGCTTCGGCGTGATCCCTTCAGGCCTGATCCCCTCAGCCTGATCCCCTCAGGACTGATAGCCTTGGCCTGATCCCCTCAGGCTTGATAGCCTTGACCTGATCCCTTCAGGCCTGATCCCCTCAGCCTGATAGCCTTGGCCTGATCCCCTCGGTCTGATTGCCTTGGCCTGATTCCCTCCAGCCAGATCATCTTGGCCTGATCCCCTCAGACCTGATCCCTTTAGGCCTGATCCTGTCTCCTTCTGATATTTCCAATATGTCTTCCAGTACCAAACATGACTCACATACGCTGAGAGTGGAGGTATTCATCATTTCTTTGGTGACAGATATCTTATCACACTCTGTGCCAGCCCTGAGACCCAGCCAAGACCCTGGATTTTGCACAGGTCTTGCTGCACTGGGACTGGCTCGGGTCCTCTTTCCAGCTTGGGTAGTATCACGTGTCAGTGTTTCTCCTGAATCAGAAGACCTGGCGCACTGGAATGTTTGAAAACAAACAGGAACAAATATAAACACTTCAGTAAAGGGCATATATGCCCACAGTAAAAGCCCAGCTACCCTGGGCAACGTATGAGTGTTTCAAAGGCATATGGACATTTATTGTTGTTTTCAGAAGACAAACTGCTGATGTAGAAGTGTGACCAGATAAAGTCCAGAACCACCCCCAGGGGTGTCCTGTGATGTAGGAGAGTAACCAAACACTCCCCAGGGTTCAGGCTTGGGACCAAACATCCAGCCCCAGGGCAGTGACAAAAACATGCAGCCCCCAAGGCTGTCCTGTAACTGACTTTCATTCTGATGCCTACAGGTTTCCTTAATGGAAAACAATATGACACACATATTCTAAGGTGTTTTATTCAGGTTACCTTTTGACACAGGTTGACAGCTTTAATATAACACTTCAGTTCTGCTACTGGAATAAACCCCACAGCCTTTTGGGGTTCAAGTAACCATGTGAGCCCCAGGCAGCTGAGAGGCTTGTTTGAGGAGATCAAGATATGATTCAACCTCAGAAAGCGATCTGTGACCGCAGCCTGTTTGCCTTCACGAAAAGTGACCCCAAACAAGGTTATCCCAAGGATATCAGTGGTGGTATGGCTATGCTCCCACTTCATGAAGCGCACACTCAGCAGACTGTGAGAGATGGTGATGATGGAGGCCCTGGCTACTGTTTTCTTATCTCAACTCCGTCTGTGGTCCATGGCGGTCTTATCACTGCATGTTTTGGCTCCACGATGGCACCTGTGGGCCCTACCAAATGTCGGAGACTTTTACCCTACTCTTCTCCCTCTTAGTCTTCCTCTCTTCCAAGATTCCATGCTCCAGGTTTAGCAAAAATGCCCAGGATGCACAGGAACAGGCTGTGATGTCTCTAAAGAGCCAATGGGGGATGACAGAGCGGGAAATGGACAGTAGACAGAGGATCAAAGTGCTACATTATGGGAGGAAGACAGTGGATGGCAGTACTACATTATGGAAGGAAGACAGAGGATGGGAGTGCTGCATTATGGGAGAAAGACAGCAGATCAAAGTGCTGCATTATGGGAGGAAGACAGGATGAGAGTGCTACATTATGGAAGGAAGACAGAGTAATGGAGTGCTGCATTATAGGGTAAAAACAAAGGGTCAGAGTGTTGCATTATGGGTGAAAAAGTCACTTAGTTTTAGTGGCAGTAATTAATAAAGAAATAACAAACATGTCTGAGTGCCTGTGCAGTCATACACCATGGTGGGGGGTGGGGGTCCTCATAGTGAGGGGGGTGCTGGATAGTGAGAAGTTACAATGCTGCCCCAGCCCCTGGAACCATGTTACACCACTCTGGGCTGCAAGGATAGGGGAGGGGAGGAGGTGGGGATGGAATTACAGTCTACACCTCTGGGCATATTTATCTGTGTGCGTACATGTATGTGTGTGTGTGTGTGTGTGTGTGTGTGTACAGTATGTGTGTGGGTGTGTATGTATATGTGCTGGAAGCTCTCCTTGCTTGGCTGACTGTCTGGTAGGGGGTATGAATAATGACCCCTACCCCCACTCACAGCTACATGGCTGGGTGAATCACTGAAAAAGTGCTGAGGCCCCCAGCTGCCGCCTCCTCCTCCTTCTGAGAGTCACTCAGTCTGCAGGGTGAGTCAGCAGCTCTCAGACGCTGCTCTGCAGTTCGAGTCACTTTTTAAAAGGCCTTTTTATTGTGCGTACACTCATAATTTGTGGTTTTGGCTCCATACAGCTTTTTTCTAGGGGTTTGAAAGGAAAGGTGGGGAGGGGGGTAACTATATTTTTCTTAAACCATAACTCATTAGGGAGAACTTTGCAAGTTCAAATCTCAAAAGTGTGGCTGTCCCTGAGCAGATAAGGAAGGCCATGGCTGAGCTGAGCAGGCCCCTTTCGTTTTAAGCAAAGGCATCTGCGGCTGTGCCAGAGAACCGGATGGCTTGGCACATTTTCACTACACCTGTTGTCATGAGGTGAGGGACGAAGTACTCGAGAGCATGTGTGTTGGTGAGAAAAAAGGGGTTTTATTTAACTGAATAACATAAGCTGGAAACAAACGGGTTTATGGGGAACCACTAAGGGACCATGGAAAGGCTCAGTCAACACAAGGGTTCGATGTCAATGTTTAGACTGGGGAACACAGGACTGGGAAGCACTTAAATTCATGACTGACAAAGGAGCAAACAAGAGGCAGCTGGGAGTGACTCACACAAAGTTTAGGACCGCGAGTAACAGGCATGGCTCATTAGGGACACACTAGGATGGAAACAGGAGGGTCACATGGGCAGAGCATGACACCTGCCAGGAAGCAGAGGCCATCTCTCGATGAGATATGCGAGAAGGGGGATTTAACAGCCAAAGTAAATATCAGTCAATGGAGAAGTGACATGGAGGGAGATGAATGTGGTTACACACAGTATGAGGCCACGGTGAGGCATCCAGCAGAGGCAAGGCATCTACAAGAATGGCCCATTGTCTGATTATCACCTTCTGTGGCCATCATCAGGATGGAATTGGTGAAATACAGCAGACATCTGAGCTATTTCTAGCCCCTCTGTTCTCAGTGGGTCATTCTCAGCCCTTAATCAGGCATCTGTCATACTTGGGAGGCACCTTAGGTTATTAAAATGACTTTACATTGGTATTTGAGCAGAAACATTCAAAACTGAAGGAAATCAGTTACAGCATTTTCATTTCAATAGCCAAAGTCTCCTCTAATTAGTTAAAGGTGCCATAGAATGAAACTCTGACTTTACCTCAGCATAGTTGAAAAAGGAGAGCTCAGTACATGGAAATGACATACCATGAATCTCAAACACTGTTGTTCCCTCTGTCAAATATACTTCCTGGATATGTAAAAGGAGGAATTGAAACAGCATCAAAATTCCTAAACTGTTACATAACAGTCAAAACCACACCCTGGAAATCTACATATGCCAGCCCACTTTCAAGCTCTAAGGACATGTGCATTCAGACTTCAACAGCTGTGCAGGTATTGTGAAGAATGAAGCAGAGGACAACAGTGAAAATGGCAGGCTGGATGCATAAGTGTGCTGTTTGAGGCTGTGATGGGGAAAGTTGACACTTTTCATTCCCTTCCAGAAAAACTGAACTGTCAACATGCATGGTTGATATTCGTCTTTAAGAGCTAAGTCAGGGGTACACTTCCTAAAAGCTCCTGTTAACAACAAGCATAGTTGGAACTGTCCAGTTGCATGGTTCGATGTACAGTAAGTTACTAATTACATTGCTAGGAACTATGCTTTTGGGAAATTGTACCCCAGTTTACTAGGGGAGTAGTAAACAACATTACGAAGTCTGTGATACTGACTTTGACAAAAGGCTTCTGTATTTCCCGTAGCCTGCTTTTGGTCAGCTAAACAAACATCTATTCGATACTGAGGTAAAAGGTGAAAGCATAACTCCAAATTCATTACAAATAACACATTTACAAGCTGCTGAGCTTGCTGTTCGGAGTTCTTGATAAAACTCGCATGACGAAGTAAGCATTGTAAAATTATTTGTTGAGTGAGATGGAAAATAATTTTAATGTTCCTGTCATAATGCTGTTCTAAAGATAAAGACAAAGTTATGATTATGCTAACATTGTGCCTAAGATGAAGTGGGAGTATTAAAGTTACAAGCAGCAAGTTAGTTCTGTGTGAGCCATCACAGTGCCTCACTATAAACCAGCCAATCAGAGCAGAGCTCATCAACATATCAATGAGCCCACAAAATAAGGGAAAACAACCTGTTTCATTCTAGGGCCAAATTATAGGGTTGTAAATGGACCTGTAAAACCACTTCTGGACATTTTTGACTAAACCAAGTTCACATACCTTCTATGTAGTCATCAGAAAACAATTTGAAAAGAAATGCATCCCATGATGTAGCCAGTAGGTTGACTGTTGAAATCCTAGAAGGGCAGGATCAGTGAGGCAGAAAGCTTCGAGTGTGTGTTGATGCCTGTAACATGTATGTGTTAATGAGTCGATAAGTGCTATTCTGTACAGACCATTCTTGGATGGGATGTATCTTAACATTAAATAACAAATACACTGTGGCACCTATTTTTCATAAAACATGGAAGGTCAATTAAAGAGTCAAAATAAAACAGTTTGTAATGTGAAACTTAACAATATGAGAATATATAGACATCTTTGAAAATCCTTCAGCCTAATAAGGTTCTATTGACTTTCTATTGAATTAGGCCTGAGGGGATCAGCCACCAGGAGAGCCGCTGTAAATACTCCAGGATGATCCAGACATAATGAGCTCCTTTGTTTAATGTGCTTTCAGCAAAACATACTCACTCACTCCTTCATGGTTTTACATCTGATGAGCTCAGCATTTCACTGGAGCTTTCCTGCATCACTCAAGGCTGCAACTGCAGTTGTTGTCTTCCTCAAACCTGGAACTGTTTGGTGATTCATCTTGACTTTTCACATACAGTAAAATCTATGTAATTGTAAAGTGGCCTTCTGTTTAGTTGTTAATGTATAAGATTTATAAGTACAATTTATAAGATGCACATGTGTATAAAAATTTGAAGAACTGTTTTTTGTTTTTGTTTTTTTTCTTTTGATTGCCTCAGTGAAGGGCCATGTTGGAGATGTTGACTGTGTAGCACCCCCTTCCTGCCTCCCCGGGAGCATAAAAGGGGTGCCCTAGGTTCGGCTCTGTGGTCTGGCTGGGGTCTACGCTAAAACCTTACAAAACAAAATACCTTAACTAGTATTATCCGGCGATAACCAACCCAGTATACCATTAGCTGTAATATACATCAAACCCCATATAGCAATCCGTATCACAAATGGACCCACGCACACACAACTCGCAATGATATATAGCACACTTTCAACATATAATGTCCACGTCCCCTCGATACAAGTTTCAATTCAACCGACAAGAACAGCTTAAGCTAAAATAAATGACAGACATTTATCGACAGCATTCTGTAAACATAAGCGCAATACTCCGGAGTATTCTAATATGAATGCTCTTATGGTGCAGGCCTGGACGAGGCTTGGGTGCGTTGAGGCCAAAACGGTAATGGCCGCTTCGCTCGGAGAGGAGGGGAAAAAAAACCCGCTCGTTACCTCCACTGGGTTTCCAGCTGGCTCTGGCAGGATTATCCACCAAGCGTCCTCCACGATACAGGAACTCCAACGAAGCCCGATGAACTTTGTGTGTCTCCGGTAACACAAAGCGCTATCGGGATCTCGTCTGTCCGGGACGGCGCAATCAGCCGAAACTGGCCCGTTTCAGATCAGCCAGTCTACCCAGCGCTTTACACAGGGTTCACAACCTTATAATCTCACCCCAACTCAATATATTTGTTTAATATATTTATTTAATATATTTATTTAGTTATTGCCTAACTAAATAAATTGACACAATACTTTTCCTTCTGTACTCTGCCCAAAAAACAGCGATCTCTCTACCCTCCAGCCGTCTTCTCCCTGCCTCTCTCGCGCCTTTTTTTTTACCACATCCCCGCTTTTTTCCACACATCCCGCCCCATCTCTCCGTCTGATTGGGGTTCTAACACAGAGTGCCAATCATATTGCAGCCATCCTCTGACTGACAATACAGAGTAAACCTCAGCGAGTGTCTGCAAATGATTTACGGGCAAGCTTCAAATGAAGCTGAACAAACTTAAACTAAGCGGTAAAGCAACAACAAAAATCGATTAAAATATATTACCACGGGCTACAACTGTGAGGAAAGATATACTCTGTGACTTTCCACTGTGAAATTCAAACATGGGGCGAAATAATCAGTTTGCTTTATGGTGGGTGAAATTAAACAAATGTATAGCTCAATTAGTGTGCCGCAGATGGATTGGGGGTCGGGCTCTGTGGGAGCATGATGATGATGGTTATACTGAACTGTTGGAGGTTGCAAGCCAAGTTGCGAACCTTCGAACAAGGCATCTGCTAGGTTTCTGGCCCAAATCCAGGAAGGAGTGATGCTCTTAAGCCTTTGAGTGATGTATTTACTACAAATTTTTGAAAATATTATGATCTTCACTCACACAGTTCAGAGCCACACTTGAGAAACCTAACCCTAACTACATTTAACTGATGCTTTTATGTAAAGCAAATGTTTACCAATTGATATAAATGGATGTCTTACCGGACTGATTCAGGTTATGCACATTGGTGAAGGGAAGTACAGAGATGCCCTTCTTGGGCGCAAAACCCATCAATTCCATGTTTTTCTGACAGTAACAGGCTCCTCTGGGGTGGGGGGTCTCACAGCAAATTAGCAAATGAGTAGGGAGAGAGCAAGGCACAGGAAAAGAGGCCTGATCTGCCCGCTCTTTCGTCCAAGGATGGGGATGAAATGTTAATATACAGCCCACATTACACAACTTGCAGCAAAAACAAACAGTTTTCACAGTAGTGCTGAGCTGCGCTGTCCCCACGCTAGCCACAGAGCCAAGACCTTCCTCTCCACATGGAGCATAAACAGCTTTTCTTCTCATTTTTTTGTCCCCCATCCAGTGTTCAGAGGCTGACCCACGGAGCTCCATGCAAAGTGACGGTTAAAGGAACAATACACAGAACATGATCCAAGGTGAAAAACACATTTAATAAAAAAAGAAAGCGAAGCAATTCATTTTCAAATCTATGTGGACTGTATCGTGTGGCCATGTTTACTATTGGACAAAGCAGAGGAGGTCCAGGATTTCTTTGACCTGTCAGGCTCAAATTATCCTTAATTATTGATCGAATTATAGGTTGAATACAGTATCAGGTTAGCTGTAGAGCATGACCAACATGAAACAAAGAAGAGAGCCTCCAACAGCATCAAACCCTGAATGCGTGTTTCACTGGGCTTTCACTTCCCATGATGCCACAGGGTCCCCAACTCTCCTGGGATGCTACATCAGGCAAAACAATAGCATTCAATTGAGTGTTAAGCTCACAGGCACCACTGAAAACAGTTGAAACAAAACTCATATCTCACACCTGAGGGAGCTGCCCTGACACTCACTGCACATAGAAGCCTTATGGTGATGACTCTCATGCAGAACTAGTTAAAAATGAGTAATGCTCGGGTCCGTCTAGCAACCCAGATAGAGAACTACTATCCCAAGTCAAAGGACTGACAGAGTGTATCAGTTTGTGGCCAAACCTGGCCAATGCACTGACATCAGGCAAGCCCCCAACTATTTTACAGAGGCAATGGTTTTTCTTAGCAAGATCTTCACAAACCTAAAGTAAGCCTCAGTCAGAACTCCACGTTCTTGAAAGGTCATCAATAATAATAATAATAATAATAATAATTCAGTTCCATTTATATAGCACCTTTCACAATCCCAAGGTCGTGTTATACAAAAAAAAAGTACAGGAGGAAGAGACGGAAGAGAAATACTCAAGGAAAAGAAATCTCTTTAATTCGGATTTGAAGGAAGAAAAAGAAGAACAGTTACAGAGTGATTGTGGAAGAGAGTTCCATAGTTTTGGGGCCATGACACTGAAGCACCTACCGCCCATGGTGGAAAGTCTAGTGCATAATGGCAAGGAGATTACTATTCGAGGATCAGAGAGGGCAAGAGGGTGAGTAAGGAGTCAAGAGTTGCCATTCTGACGTAGCAAGGAGCAAGGTTATGCAGAGCTTTATAAGTAAGAAGCAATATTCTGAATTTGATACAAGATGGGTGTGATGTGAGTGGATCATTTAGCGTGAGTGAGAACTCTAGCTGCTGAGTCCTGAATATACTGAAACTTTTGTATAAATTTTGCAGGAAGGCCAATGAAAAGGGAGCTGTAGTAGTCAATACGGGACATAATATAAGCATGAATCAGAATTTGGGCATCAATACTGGACAGAAATGGGTGTAGATAAAATGGGTGGAGGTGAAAGAATACAATTTTGGAGAGGGATTTTATATGTAGGTCAAAGTTGAGTGTAGAGTCAAATAGTACGCTAAGATTTCTTATTATTGCTGCAGGTTTTATAGGGACAGTATCAAAACAGAGAATCTAGGGAATTTAGATACTAATGATTTTGGACCGACCAGTAAGACGTTTACCTGCAAGTTTTAAATCAGAGATGCAATCAGTCAGTGTATTGGGAAGGGAATCAATGGAGGAGTGTGTACTAAGATAAAATTGAATATCATCTGCATAGTGAAAGTTAAGGCCATATCTGTGAATGATTTGACCAAGGGGTAGGATGTAAATTAGAAAGAGGAGGGGCCTGATCCCTCACAACAGGAGAGGTGGAGGACTTATGTGGACCTAGTGTGATAAACAGTTGTCTGTTAGTAAGATATGACATAAACCATTGAAGGACATATGTCTGTGATGCCAACAGAAGACAGGCGAGAAATGAGTACATCATGGTTTACCGTGTCAAATGCTGAGCTTAAGTCAAGAAAGATGAGAATATTGAGAAAACCGCAATTGGAAAACCAGAGGAGTTCATTCCCACCACGCAGAAGAGCTGTATCAGTGCTATGCTGTTTACGGAAGCCAGACTGGAGTGGCTCATACGGTGCCTCACCATTAAGAAAGATATGCAGTTGTGAGTAGCTACAACTCTTTCAATCACTTTAGTCGGACAAGGAAGATTTGAGATAGGTCTGTAGCTAGAGAGAGATGATGGATCCAACTCAGGTTTTCTGAGGATAGGAGTAACTGCAGCAGTTTTGAGGGCAGAAAGGATAGAGCCGAAAGAGAGACAGTGTTTGTCACTGATGCAACTGCAGAAATGATTATAGAAGAACATGCTATAAGTTTAGGTGTAGGGGCCGGATCAAGCTGACAGGAGGAAGGATTAGACTTAAGGATACATTTGGAGAAAGCGATAGAGACAACAAGAGTAAAACAAGAGAGTTTAGTAATTGGAGTAGTACAGTCAAAGTTAACAGGGAGAAAGACTGAGAAACATGACGAAAATTATGATTCGGTTAATTTTGCCACCATTCTTGGGGAATGCTGGTACAGGAGGTCTGAGGAGTTAGTTATCAGTCCTAAAGAGTGTTCATGACCTAGACTTAGCACCACTTATGATGGAGGAGTAGAAGTTTGAGCAAGCAATATTTAGGGCATCCCTATACTTCTGGATGTGCTTGGTGTATAAAAGCATGTGCATGGTGAGACCAGTTTTCTCATAAAGGTATTCAAGACACCGGCCAGTGACCTTCATTATTCTGAGCTCAGGGGTGAACCAAGGACAATAGTAATTGGCTGAAATAAGCCTAGTCTATAGAGGAGCTAGATCATTAGTACCACCTGCATTTATTCGGTGTGGCCCCTGGTGCATGAGAGGTGTTCAGCAAGCTTTCGATTAGTGTCACCCTGAGGTGAAACATGGAGCAAATCCACTTTGACCACAATTCCAGAAACAGACAAAAACAGGTTTGCGAGTCAGCCCCAGAGGCACCGCCATCCAGGACACGTGGCACAGATCGTGGTGGGAACATGGTCACTGATGCATAGGAGGATTTTTCCAGAATTATACCTTCAAGTCAATATTCTCCGCAACAGACTCATGAATAAAGTTAAGTGAAATTTAGTCTTATACACATAGATGTAAACACGTACACTCACCTAAAGGATTATTAGGAACACCATACTAATACGGTGTTTGACCCACTTTCGCCTTCAGAACTGCCTTAATTCTACGTGGCATTGATTCAACAAGGTGCTGAAAGCATT